TGTTTTTTCTTAGGGTTTTAGGGTGCGGGGAGGCAATTGTGGGAACGAAAATAAAATTGGAAACGAAAAAAAAATTTCTGTAAAAAAAATTTAAAACCAAGAAGACAGGCCCCTAAATTTCAGATAAAGGGTTTCTTACTGTCCTTTATTTTAAAAAAATGAAAAAAAATTTTTTAAAATATCAATATAAATTTTTAAGACACTGACATGAGTTTTTCAAACCTAATACCATGATTTTGCAAATAAATTAATTTACCCCCCTAATTAAAAAAACGGCCAGTCTGGCCCCCTTGCTTTCCCTCGTATGTGTAGGAAAATAGGGTCCTGATTATCAAAAACCTTATAATAGTTGTTCCTTTGACTTAAGAAGTTTTAAAAGTATTCCTTTAATGTTTATTTTATATAGATAAAACTTCGTTTTTTTTTGTTGCTTTATTTAGCGTTTGTATTTTCAAAAGCGGTTAAAAAAAAAATATTTTTTTGCATTTAAAAAAAATGGGTATGGGGGTAAATTTTAACGGTAAAATAAGCCGGAATTGTTTTGAACAATACCCCCAAAAAATCCTGGGTACAAAAAAAATTCGTGGCCACAAAATGTCGTGGGAACGAAAAAAAAAGCCGTGGCCACGAAATAAAGGTTATAAATGTCATTTTACATTCTTCTCTTTTCTGTCATTCAAGATGAACGGACTTATAAATTATTATCTTTCAAATAAATTTAAAAGCGGGATATTTGTTTAAAATGATTCAAAATGCATTGTGTGCCTGAATCATCATTAGTTATTAAACATATCAATTTAATTTGTTTCCGGTTAATTGCATGAAGAGCTGATGAACGCAAAGAATATTTTTGATCAATTAAACCTACAAATAATATCAATGCTAATCTCACAATACATTACATTTTTTTCTTAAACAATGTACGATAATTTGATAAAATTATTTAATAGTAATTCCACAAAAATTTTTTAATTTTTTAAAAATCAAAATTTTTCCCTAAAAGATGTAGATTTTGTTATTGTCTATTGTGAATTTGTTGCATGCTTTTCTATTTCAAAAGTTGTAATGAAGAAAGAGCCAATAAAAAAAAAATTCTGAACTCATTATTAATGACAATTTGGCCATAAAATGTTGTTAAACAGTTCAATGGTAATTGATTAATTATTTAAATTCCATGCTGAATAGTAAAATATTCCTAATTCCAGCTCTTGAAAAAAGGGGGGGTATACGATTTTTCCATTGAAATCCTGAAATATATAGTATAATAGTAAGATGTGAATAAATTTTCTTAAACCTTTTCTTGTGCTTTATGCTTTAAAATTAACAATATATATTTGTAAAATATGATGTGTCCGTTGTAAAGCTTGGAAATTTGCTGAAAAATAAGCATTTTGTCGTTTTTTTTTATTATTATTTTATTTATTTTTTTGGTATACATGGTTTATAACATAAACCGTTCCCCCCCCCCTCCGTGAAACACAAAGGTTTTGGAATGAATTTTGGAAATGATAGAACATATTTCCCGTAAAAGAATTTTTGTTTCCGAGGGGGGGGGGTGTTTAAGTTTAAAAAAAAAGAGTTTTATCCTTTTTTTTTTTTTTATATCTCTCGTTTTTTTTCCCCAAAGAAGTATGTTTTATGAAAATCCATAAAAATATCAATATAAATATAAAAAAAAATCATTCGAATATCTTAACTTTTGAAAATTGATTTGGGGGGGAAAGGCGGGGAATTTTTTTAGGGGAATTTTTGGAATAAATTATTCCTACATTCATTTCCCTATTATAAGTCTAAAACATGGCGGTAAGTAAATTTGGATTTTCCACCACAGAAATATTTGTTAAATTTGTAATTTCACACAAAGTAGTTTATAATATGTAAGGAAGGTAGATGGAAACAGTTCTCTATTAGGGGTGTTATTCCTGCGATTTTTTTAACCGGAAAAAAAATTGGTCTTTCCCTTTTTGTTTTTCCCAAAAGGTTTTCTTTTTTAGCAAATAAGGCCACCTGGTTAAATAAAAACCACCCTAGGGGTTTACCTTTTGGGGAGTAAAGTTATTTAAAAAATAAAACCTATTAATTTTTTTAAAATTTTTATTTTACCCCCCAAAATTGATGAAATGTTCCCTTTACATATTTCCCTTTTTAATCACAACTTATAACCTTATAACTGCAAGTGGATAAACAATTTTACTTAAAGAGAACATTGCCATTCCTTTAATCCTCCGGGAGCCAATTTATCCCCCCCCCCCATGGGACCCCCCCCAAATTAGCCCACCTATGATGGGAGGACCCCCAGGTTGGGATATATTTTTGTGTTTATTTCCCTAAAAATTTCCTTTCTGTTTTTTCCTTTTTTTTTTACCATTCACTTTGCTTTCCTTTTCCATTCTGCATTCACTCATACTTCAACATTCACACATCATTCACCCACCATTTGCTTTGCGTTTGTTTACTGTTAATTCACTGTTCATTCACTATTCGTTCACCGTTCAAGTGGGAAAGTAGAATGTTTCAGGGACTATAGCTCCTTTTACTTTCATCCTTTCATGAGAGAAAATCGAATTAGACCTTTAAAAGTCAAAACATATAATAATCTGTATTTTCTATGAGCTTCTCCAGTAATGAGAGAATAATAAGTCCTTCCCTGGATGGGTTAGATCTTTGTCAATGTATTTCATGGGTAGTTAAAGGTTTACATGTAAAAACCCAGGAAAATAAGAATCCTAGAGCTGTACAAGTCAGTTACAAGTAATGGACAATACAGCTGAACTTCCTCAGTCTGTACAAGTCAGTTACAAGTAAAGGACAATACAGCTGAACTTCCTCAGTCTGTACAAGTCAGTTACAAGTAATGGACAATACAGCTGAACTTCCGTATATCCAACTCCGATAAATAAAATACAATGGATATGTCAAAGTGAAGGGGAAGTCCCCAAAATATATTTTACCCTGGGTTCCAAAAAAATTGGGATATATATAAAATTTTTCCCTAAAAAACCACATATTAAGGATGAAATTGAAGAACTCTTGCTTTGCTTTGTTTAACATATTTTTGCAGTATATATTAAATTGAGTTTTCTTTCTTTGTTTTTGCAGGTTTCCAGCCCCCGGGAGGAAATTCCCCCCCCCCACTACCCCCCGCCCGGGGGCATGCCCCATGGGGATGCCTCCAGCTTTTCCCACCAGGCCCAGGTAAAGGAACATTTAACCTCTTACAAAAATTTAGAAAATGAATCCTGGATAAAAAAAAAAAAACTGAATGTAAAACCCGTTAGGGACTGAGATATGAAATGATTATAAAAAAAAAATTATATGGAAGATAGAAGTGTATTCCGTTTATCTTGACTTGACCTTGAGGTGTCTATTTTAGGTAACCCCCAGGTTCAGTCCGTGTCACAAATGGCTCGGGCCCCCAACTCTCCCTCGGCGACAAGCAGGAAAAGGTTTGTGTCTGATAGATATAAAATCTGAGTAAGATAATAAAATCTATGTAGGTTAATAAAATTTAGTACATACCCCATAAATCTTTAAGTTTGTATCAGTTCATTTGAATCTTTGTACATTAATAAAATTTTTAAGTTTGTATGAGTTCTCTTCAAACAAAGTGTTGTATTTTATAAATCTCTTACATGAAGGAAAATTGCCAATTTTTAATCATGTAGTATTAAAACATAGTCATTTTAGAATGTATTTATTTCTTCATAAAACATCATTTTTTATAAATTTAAACGAATTACATTTTGCTATGGTTACAGAAGGTTTGGACGGAACACAAGGCTCCAGATGGTCGTTATTGGTATCACATCAGATCATGACCAAACAGCTAGCTGGGAGAAACCCGACGACCTAAAGACCAAGGCAGAGGTCAGGGGTAGTTAGTAATAGTAAATAGACAAAACTGTTAAGAAACATGTATTTTAAAGGTCATTGTCTCAAATATCCTGGAAATATGCCTGCCCTCAGTCTATGTATATATAAATACAGAAAATATGTTATAAGTTATTAACATTCATTTAATAAATTGAAGTGACTTTCATTTGCTGAGGGTTTTGACACCTTTAGTCAAATGGATATAATGAACAACAAATTTTTTCCTGACACTTCGTTATAAGAGTTTTTCAGTATTTTACTAGGAAGGCCCCCCTCATCTCACAAAAACCTGTAGGACATATTTCCCAAGATTCTGATGTTACACATGTTCACATTACACAGTTCTCATAAGACACTTGTGTACATTACACATGTTGTCATTGCAGATGATGCTGTCTAACTGTCCCTGGAAGGAGTATAAGTCAGACTCGGGGAGCCTTCACTTCCACAATTCACAAACCAAATATTTTGGCTGGACCAAACCCAAAGAGCTAGAGGAACTGGAGGGTGAGTGAGTAAAGAGAAATCAAAAGTTCTCGGAAATTAATAGTGGGTCCTCAGGGAAGTTATACATTTATTATCATAGTGGGATACTTCATTACTATAAGTGTAAGAAAGAAGCTTCTTTGACAAAACATATTTTTATTCTTTGAGAAATGGTTGCCATAAGATCAAATATTCAAGGTAAATATTTTACAGAATTTACACCTGTTTATGCCTTTGTACTATATGGTTAGGGCACTCTAGGGGATCACTAGGGAAAAAGCTTAACAATCCCAATTTCCCCTGGCTTCTGTTGAGAGCCGTTCTTGTTCAGTGGGGTGATGGCCTTGTGTTTTATTTCAGTGTCGTTGGCGGTGGAGATTCTGGAGGGGTGATCACAGCACCCCACATCAGTAGCAGTGCCCCCTGCTGGTAGCGGCATCACACTACCACAGCAGCCTGCCAAACCCTTACCAGCGGCCCAGGGCAGCATCACGTTACCACGGCAACCAGCCAAGCCGTCATCTGCTATCCAGGCCGCCATGCAGGCGACGCTGGCCTCCATCAAACTCCCTCCCCCTTCACCATCCATCAAGGCTGAAAAAGAGGTCAAAGAGAGCAAGTAGGTCACTTTAAATCGAAAAAAGGGAAAGTTTAGTCCACTATGAAATATATTTCTGAAATTCTTTTACGTGTATAATGGTAACAAATGAAAGAGATCAGTTTTCTAGTCTGACAATCATTAGATTATACTTTCAATTAATAGCAATAAAATATAAGGAGAAACTTATAGGACTTTTTTTTTTAGTAAATCTTCAAAATCACAAATGATAGATTTTCTGTAAACTTTTCTCTTGTAGGCTGAGTGATGATGAGGAGGAAAAACCCAAAAAGGAGGTTGTCCCTCTTGTCTTCAAAAATAAAAAGGAGGCCATGGAGGCATTCAAGAGTCTGCTCAAAGAAAAGGTCTGACTATTACAAGTATAAAACTTCTCACAGTATTGATATAATAGAGGCATTCAAGAGTCTGCTCAAAGAAAATGTCTGACATAAGTTGAAAATTACACAGATTATTGATAATGTCGGTAAAAAAAAGAGACATTTAACAGTCTGCTCAAGCTTAAGGAAAAGATTTGACTATTACAAGTATAAAACTACTCAGATTATATATAATGTCAGTAAAAATAGGCAATGAAAGCATTCAAGAGTTTACTCAAAGAAAAGGTCTGAAACATAGAAAGATTTCAATAAAACTGGAGTGGACTGTATCAAAAATGTTAGCGAAATATGGAAGTTACTACAATTAAGTCTGTGTGGAGGATGTATTTGTATTTTTATGCTTCTGCACATAACACCCCCCCCCCCCCTTGAATTTTATTTGAATATACCTTTTTATTTTCCAGGGCGTATCATCTAATGCCAGCTGGGAGCAGGCGCTGAAGTTGATCGTTAACGACCCTCGTTACGGTGCACTCAGACAGCTTAACGAGAGGAAACAGGCCTTTAATGAGTACAAAACAAAGAGGGCCAAGGAGGAAAAGGTGAATAATACAAACTATCAGAGGCTGCTATGTTATCAAAATCTAATAGAAACTATAAGAGGCTGTTATGTTATCAAATTCTAATCCACACAATCATTGTAAGCCTGAATTCATTATAACCACGTTCCTATAGATGTGTTTTACTTTAAATTCAAGAAAGATTTATCTTTCCTATTTAAAGACATCAGCAAGGAATCTTTTAAAAACTTTTTACGCGAAAACATTGGTTATTTTCTAGTAATTGTGTTGACATACATGTAACATTTTACTTTATGCCACAGAGAGAATGGTAGTTAAAATTTTGGTTCTTCTGGAGATTAAGTATTTGTAGCTGACCTTGTGTTTTGATTTAAGACATTATGACCTAGTATTTATAGCTGACCTGGTGTTTGTTATAGGAGGAGCAAAGACTGCGAGCTAAACACGCCAAGGAGGACTTAGAACATTTCCTTCTCCATGCCGAAAAAATGAACTCAAGTGTCAAGTATTGGTAAGTTTCTGTGGAAACCACCTTCTAGGATTATGTGCATGTCTGTGTAAACTTGATTATTCAGCAGATTTAATAAATTTTTTTGTTAATTATTGGTAGTATACAAGTGATGGAGTGATTTCTTTATTTTTAATACAGGAAGGCGGATAACTTATTCAGTGACCAGGATGTATAGCACAGTGTATATATATATATATTTTCTATTTATAACACAGGAAGGCAGATGACTTATTCGGGGATCAGGACGTGTGGCGCCGTGTCGACGATCGTGATCGACGCGAAATCTTTGATGATGTCGTCCACATGCTGGCAAAAAAAGAAAAGGTAACTAGAGGAGAAGATCCAAGAATTCATCAAAGGGTTGAAAATATGAGATTTAAATATTCTACTTCTGACAGGAATGAATGTGAATACATTTGTAGAAGATATCAGATGTGCTTTACAACTTAGACGAGGCTCATCAATTTGTATAAGGTCCCTTTAAGAATTCTTAATTCAAAATGATAGCATCTCCAGGTATACAGATGTGTCAATGTCAGTCGACATATCGGGTCTCAATAGCTCAGTGGTTAGAATGCTGGCATGATAGGTCAGAGGTTCTGGGTTTAAGTCTTGATTGAGACTTGATTTTTCATCTCCTGTGACAATAGAAAGAAGGAGAAGAACACGAGTAGAAAATGTAAAACATATGAAATGTGAATATTTGACTGTTAACAGGAGGAATCCAAGTCTCTGAGGAAAAGAAACACGAAGGTGTTCACGGAGATCCTGGACAGCATGCCGAGTCTGACGTTCTGTACGACCTGGTCCGAGGCCTCGCAGATGTTACTGGACAATCCACGATTTACAGACGACCCAGACTTACATAGTAAGTATAATTGATGACCCACACCTACATAGTAAGCAAGACATTAGACAATCCACGGTTTATTGATGACCCAGATCTACATAGTAATAAATCAATAAAAACTAGTGAATCTCTGATTGCAAATTGAAATAAGAAACCTTGCTTTACTAAGCATTTGCTTATGGAACAGATTCAACATTTTTTGCGATATGGTACTTTTGGGCAAATTTGTTTTCCAGAATTTTCTTTCAAAATTAAGTTTACATGTTACAACCCATTTTGGAATGCTTTTAAATCATCTGAATAGAAGAGATTTCAGAAAGTCTTTATAGTACACCTTTCAGAATCTATGTTATGTTTGATAGATATGGACAAAGAAGATGCCCTGATTTGTTTTGAGGAACACATCCGACTGTTGGAGCAGGAAAACGATGACGAAAAGGAACGAGAACGAAGACGAGGCAAACGACAGCAGAGGAAAAACAGAGAGGGGTTCCTGGTTAGTTGTCTTTAGTAAAACTAGGAAAAACAGAGAGGAGTTCCTGGTTAGTTGTCATTAGTAGAATTAGGAAGAACAGAGAGGGGTTCCTGATTAGTTGTCTATAGTAAAATAAGGAAAAACAGAGAGGGGTTCCTAGTTATTTTTCAATAGTAAAATAAGGAAAAACAGAGAGGAGTTTCTGATAACTTTTCAATAGTAAAATAGGGAAAAACAGAGAGGAGTTTCTGATAACTTTTCAATAGTAAAATAAGGAAAAACAGAGAGGAGTTTCTGATAACTTTTCAATAGTAAAACAAGGAAAAACAGAGAGGGGTTCCTGGTTAGTTGTCTACAGTAAGATGAGGAAAAACAGAGAGGGGTTCCTGGTTAGTTGTCACAAGAAAAATTTGATTCCTGAGGTTCACTAATGAATAGAAGGGGCAAATTTTTGTGTGCACTTCTGGAAATTCCTTTCATACCTGCAGTTATCTTGAAGACTTATTACTTGCAGAAAGTTTAAAAGAAAAAATGAAAAGTAATGGAATCTACTCTACCATGCATGGCTTTCATAAAAAATTGCACCAATTAGAATATTATGGAATGAAATACAACTTGCCTGTGACATCATTTGATGTCAAAGTCTAGACAGTATCTTCTGTGGTGTGGAGAGGCATATCAAAGTCAAATTGTAATTGTTTAAAAGAACTGCACAATTTAAAAAAAACTGTTTGTTCATTTATTTTGCATAAATTGAAAGTCCTTTCTTCGTAAGATTTTTTTTATTTATGATACACCTGTCCCTTGATTTGTGTAGGTTCTGTTAGATGAGCTACATGTTTTATGATGTGTTTATCTGTTGATATCTGTGTCTCTTTATTTGTGTAGGTTCTGTTAGATGAGCTACATGAGCAGGGGAAGCTGAACTCCATGTCTCTGTGGATGGACCTGTACCGAATCATCAGTCAGGACGTCCGCTTCACCAACATGCTTGGACAACCAGGTAAAAATACCATAACAAGGTCATAGACTGACCAACCAGGTAAAAATACCATAGTGAGGTCATAGACTGACCAACCAGATAAAAATACCTGTACAGGGTCATAGTTTGACCAACCAGGTAAAAATACCTGTACAGGGTCATAGTCTGACCAACCAGCTGATTAAAATACTGTAGATCACTAAATTTTCGCGACACCTTATTTTCGCGAGATTGTCATTGACTCTTTGTAAGCGAGACATAATTTTCACGAATAGTTGTTATGCTTCTATATAATCGTAAGGAATACTTTTGTACGCAAGAATTAAATTTTCGCGAACGCACTGTCTCACGTAATTACGCGAAAATAAAGTTCTCGCGAATAAAAAGTGTTTAATACAGTACTTGTACAGAGTCCTAGTTTGACCAGATAAGATGAAACCTCAAACAGATTTATAGCTTTGACCTATTTAGTATACATGTATTTATTATGATTTTAGGATCCACCCCCTTAGATCTGTTCAAGTTTTATGTGGAGGATCTCAAAGCTAGATTCCACGATGAGAAGAAAATTGTCAAAGAAATCCTGAAGGTAAGCTGCAGAAAAATTGAGCATACTTTACCTAATGAAGGCAATTTGTAGTTTGATTCTCATGCTGTTATTGTTTGATATTGTTTAAAAGGTCAATTCTAGTACAGTAGATCCTTGTTACAGTGAGTTCACACTTACATCACAGTGATTGTTAATCTCTTAAGCACAGTGAACCCTCAGATATCCGGACGCCAGATTTCCGGATGCTTCAGTATCCGGACGATTTTTCATCAGAACGAAATTTTTAAATGTTATTTTGTCTTGTTTAACTGGTGATTCAGATATCCGGATGCTTCACATATCCGGACAAATTGACTGGGAACCAAAGTGTCCGGATAAATGAGGGTCCACTGTATTTTGTAACAGATTAAATATTTAGCAAATCAAAATTGTCCATCCCTGATTCTTTCCTTTCAGCAACATGTTTACTATTATTTGCTATTTCCCTGCAGATTTTGTAGTACTTGTAATTTCTGTATAATTTATTCAGTCAATTTTGAAATGATTAATTTCTGATCCTGGCTGTTTTGTTATTACTTTGTCGTGTTGTTTTAGGATTATGTTTTTATCTGTCATATAGGGTTCTGTAGGAGAAAGGTTTTCTTGTGGAAGTCAGTACGCTGTTTGAGGATTTTGTTATTACTTTGTTGTATTGTTTCTTTAGGAGAAAGGTTTTCTTGTGGAAGTCAGTATGCTGTTTGAGGATTTTGTTATTACTTTGTTGTATTGTTTCTGTAGGAGAAAGGTTTTCTTGTGGAAGTCAGTACGCTGTTTGAGGATTTTGTTATTACTTTGTTGTATTGTTTCTGTAGGAGAAAGGTTTTCTTGTGGAAGTCAGTATGCTGTTTGAGGATTTTGTTATTACTTTGTTGTATTGTTTCTGTAGGAGAAAGGTTTTCTTGTCGAGGTCAGTACACTGTTTGAGGATTTTGCGGGACAGATTGCTGCTGATAGGAGAGCTAATAGTCTGGATACTGGGAATATCAAACTCACCTATAACAGTGTAAGTATATAAACTGGGTAAAAAAAGAAATCACATATAACAAACCTTTATACAACAAACATCATTCTCACATATAGCAGCTTAAGATAAGTAGACTCATGTGGACATTAATGGATACTCACATGTCGTAACACAGCAAGAAGTCTACAAGTATTATACTTGATTTTAAAAAATCACATATAACAAACTTAATACAAAGAACATCATTCTCACACATGGCAGTGTAAGTATACCCAGTGTAGGCCTTCAGCAAACACTTACACATAATAACACAGCTTAAGTCTGCAAGTATAATACCTGCTTATACAAAACTTAGATTAAAAAAAAAACATGGATAGCAAGGAATCATCAAACTTACTTCAGCACTGGAGTATAATGCTGTCAAATTACAATGTACTGTATTACAAGATTCACATATAACATCCGAAGTATGAAACTTAACAAGATAAATATCAACATGCACATGAGAAGGGTAGGGGGTGACCTTGAATTGTTTTGCAGTGAGTATAAAATTCAGATAACAAATTTACAGACACTTGTTTATCAAGAATTTTTACGTTTTAAGATTCTTAAAGAAAAATCTAGATTTGTTTTTGTGGTGTTGTTTTTTTTTTAATAATTTCTACATCAAGTTGCTAATGTATGGACTGGTTTGTATTTTTTGCTGTTATATTACATGAAGTGTTGGTTGTTTGTGTTTTTTTAGTTAATAGAGAAAGCTGAAGCTCGAGAAAAAGAAAGACTGAAGGAAGAAGCTCGAAAGGTAATACCACTCTCTTTCTGTCTGTACTTTAATCTCAGTATCTAAAACTTCAGATATCTTGAAACCTCGGATGTCTCAAAAATAGCTTTGGTCTTATTGAATGAAGGATGATGAGATTTGACTGTAGGCTATTAATTTCAATATAATGGTGTATCCAAGGAAGTGACAAATAATGTTTCAAAAAAATTCTCATTTGACTTTATTTTTGTTTACTATAAATCTTGGCAAGATGCAAATTTAGGGATTAATCAAAAAAAAAAAAAGAATATATGTTTTTTAATGAGAAGCACTTTTATAATGTCAAGAGAGATTGCCATAAAACCTATATGGACTATATGGACTAAAATTGTTATGGATATTTAATTTTAGCGATCTCAGAACCCTAGCTAATAATGCCAAAATTGATTTCTCACAGAATTCTGCTTATACAGTTAAACACGCTTGCATAATGAGACATAAAGAACTTTATTCGGTAATAACCAATATTTGCTCCCCAAACCAAACTTTGACGGGGAATTATGCATTTATGTACTTAAACAGGGGGATATATGCTGACTTCAAAGCACTGAATATTTTCATTAGAAATGACGTCATATCTTTAAAATGACGTCATGAAAATGACGTAAATTTAACAAATCCATGATTTCTACAGAAAAATGTATATATTACGTCAATATTTTGAGTAAAAATTACCGAGCGCAGGTCTGATCAGGCTCAATATTTTGATATAATGTGTAGAATGATAATATCAATGAAATATGTAAATATTGTTCCTGATCAAACTTGCGCTCTATAAATTTTAAAGCTAAAATTGTTGAAATTTTGTCCATTTTGTCCTCATTTTAAAAAATGATATAAAATCGGTCTAGTTTGTGACGTCATCAAAACAAAAATTGACAATAATCTACTTTGAAACTATAAATGTTCTGTAAATTTATATTTCTCATACAATTTATAGAATTCAGCACTTTTCAAGAATTTTCAAAATTTGACTTTTGTGGGGGCAAAGATATGCAATATATCGCATATAGTTCTTTGAATTCAAGAATTCCAAGAGAAGTTCCACCATTTAACCTTTTAGTGAAGAGTTCTACAATTTTTTTTTGTTTCTGGACAGATTGTGATGGAAGTTTTACCAAATTTCTATAAAAGTTTATAATTGTAGTCTTTGTTTTGTTGATTTCAGCTGCGTAAACTGGAGAGTCAGTTCAGGACAGCCTTAAAACAGGTCACCCCCGCGATAGAGCCAGACACAAAGTGGGAGGAGGTAGGAAATTACCATTAAATCTACTAGAGTAGATTTAAGTACTGTAACAGCACAAATATTCATTAGGGATTAAATTTTTTTGTTAACAATAATCAATGAAATTAAATCCAACATGAAATTTTATATGACTATATATTGATTACATTAAAAAAAAAATTAAATAAGATTGAAAATTGACAATTTATTTTGCTATTTTCTCTGAAGGCAAATAACAAAATGATGAAATGCAGAATGTTGACAGATTTTGAGATGTGACAGTTAACACTGCGTTTTTGGTTTCAGATTAAGGACAAGCTGGAGAGAGAGTCGGTGTTTGAGGCGATCACGCTGGAGTCGGAGCGGATCCGACTTTTTAAGGAGTACCAGGCCGTGTTAGAGGACACCTGTAGTCATCACCACGCCAAGAGAAAGAAACGCAAGCAGAAACACAAACGATCACGATCCAGATCTGTAAGTAATCACACTGTGTTAGATCCAGATAAACACAAACACAAACGATCCCGATCCAAATCTGTAAGTAATCACACTGTGTTAGATCCAGATCTCTATGTACCCTCACTGTGTTAGATCCAGATAAACACAACACATGATCACGATACAGATCTGTCTACCCTCACTGTGTTAGATCCAGATAAACACAAACGATCACGATCCAGATCTGTATGTACCCTGACTGTGTTAGATCCAGATAAACACAAACACAATCACGATCCAGATCTGTATGTACCATCGCTGTGTTAGATCCAGAGAAACACAAACACAAACTATCACGATCCAGATCTGTATGTACCCTGACTGTTAGATCCAGATAAACACAAACAATCCAGATCTGTATGTACCCTGACTGTGTTAGATCCAGATAAACACAAACAATCACGATCCAGATCTGTCTGTACCCTCACTGTGTTAGATCCAGATAAACACAAACGAACACGATCCAGATCTGTATGTACCTTCACTGTGTTAGATTCAGATAAACACAACACATGATCACAATACAGATCTGTATGTACCCTGACTGTGTTAGATCTAGATAAACACAAACGAACACGATCCAGATCTGTATGTACCTTCACTGTGTTAGATTCAGATAAACACAACACATGATCACGATACAGAAGTGTTTGTACCCTCGCTGTGTTGGATCCAGATAAACACAAACACAAATGATCACGATCCAGATCTGTATGTACCCTCACTGTGTTAGATCCAGATAAACACAAACGAACACTATCCACATCTGTCTGTACCCTCACTGTGTTAGATCCAGATAAACACAAACGAACACGATCCAGATCTGTATGGTTTCTCACTGTGTTAGATCCAGATAAACACAAACACAAACAATCACGATCCAGATCTGTATGTACCCTCACTGTGTTAGATCCAGATAAACACAAACGATCACGATCCAGATCTGTCTGTACCCTCACTGTGTTAGATACAGATAAACACAAACACAAACAATCATGATCCAGATCTATCTGTACCCTCACTGTGTTAGATCCAGATAAACACAAACACAAACTATCACGATCCAGATCTGTATGTACCCTCACTGTGTTAGATCCAGATAAACACAAACAATCACGATCCAGATCTGTATGTACCCTCACTGTGTTAGATCCAGATAAACACAAACGAACACTATCCAGATCTGTATGTACCATCGCTGTGTTAGATCCAGATAAACACAAACAATCACGATCCAGATCTGTCTGTACCCTCACTGTGTTAGATCCAGATAAACACAAACACAAACTATCACGATCCAGATCTGTATTTACCCTCACTGTGTTAGATCCAGATAAACACAACACATGATCACGATCCAGATCTGTATGTACCTTCACTGTGTTAGATCCAGATAAACACAAACAATCACGATCCAGATCTGTCTGTACCCTCACTGTGTTAGATCCAGGTAAACACAAACACAAACTATCACGATCCAGATCTGTATGTACCATCGCTGTGTTAGATCCAGATAAACACAAACGATCATGATCCAGATCTGTATGTACCCTCACTGTGTTAGATCCAGATAAACACAAATGTTGACGATCCAGATCTGTATATACCCTGACTGTGTTAGATCCAGATAAACACAAACACAAATGATCACGATACAGATCTGTATGTACATTGACTGTGTTAGATCTAGATAAACACAAACGAACACGATCCAGATCTGTATGTACCTTCACTGTGTTAGATTCAGATAAACACAACACATGATCACGATACAGAAGTGTTTGTACCCTCGCTGTGTTGGATCCAGATAAACACAGACACAAATGATCACGATCCAGATCTGTCTGTACCCTCACTGTGTTAGATCCAGATAAACACAAATACAAACAATCACGATCCAAATCTGTCTGTACACTCACTGTGTTAGATCCAGATAAAGACAAACACAAACTATCACGATCCAGATCTGTATGTACCCTCACTGTGTTAGATCCAGATAAACACAACACATGATCACGATCCAGATCTGTATGTACCCTGACTGTGTTAGATCCAGATAAACACAAACAATCACGATCCAGATCTGTCTGTACCCTCACTGTGTTAGATCCAGATAAACACAAACACAAACTATCACGATCCAGATCTGTATGTACCATCGCTGTGTTAGATCCAGATAAACACAAACACAAACAATCACGATCCAGATCTGTATGTACCCTGACTGTGTTAGATCCAGATAAACACAAACGATCACGATCCAGATCTGTCTGTACCCTCACTGTGTTAGATACAGATAAACACAAACACAAACAATCATGATCCAGATCTATCTGTACCCTGACTGTGTTAGATCCAGATAAACACAAACAATCACGATCCAGATCTGTCTGTACCCTCACTGTGTTAGATCCAGATAAACACAAACACAAACTATCACGATCCAGATCTGTATGTACCATCGCTGTGTTAGATCCAGATAAACACAAACGATCACGATCCAGATCTGTCTGTACCCTCACTGTGTTAGATACAGATAAACACAAACACAAACAATCATGATCCAGATCTATCTGTACCCTCACTGTGTTAGATCCAGATAAACACAAACACAAACAATCACGATCCAGATCTGTCTGTACCCTCACTGTGTTAGATCCAGGTAAACACAAACACAAACTATCACGATCCAGATCTGTATGTACCATCGCTGTGTTAGATCCAGATAAACACAAACTATCACGATCCAGATCTGTATGTACCCTCACTGTGTTAGATCCAGATAAACACAAACGAACACGATCCAGATCTGTATGTACCTTCACTGTGTTAGATTCAGATAAACACAACACATGATCACAATACAGATCTGTATGTACCCTGACTGTGTTAGATCTAGATAAACACAAACGAACACGATCCAGATCTGTATGTACCTTCACTGTGTTAGATTCAGATAAACACAACACATGATCACGATACAGAAGTGTTTGTACCCTCGCTGTGTTGGATCCAGATAAACACAGACACAAATGATCACGATCCAGATCTGTATGTACCCTCACTGTGTTAGATCCAGATAAACACAAACGAACACTATCCAGATCTCTATGTACTGTAGATCACTTAATTTTCGCGACACCTTATTTTCGCGATATAGTCATTGACTCTTTATTAGCGAAACAAAATTTTCACGAATTGTGGTCAGTACTCTGTATAATCTTAAGAAATTCTATTATACGCGAGAATCAAATTTTCGCAAGCATACCGTCTCGCGTAATTACGCGAAAATAAAGTTATCGCGAATAAAAAGTGATTTACAGTACCCTGACTGTGTTAGATCCAGGTAAACACAAATACAAATGATCCAGATCTGTATGTACCCTGACCGTGTTAGATCCAGATAAACACAACACCTGATCACGATCCAAATCTGTATGTACCCTGACTGTGTTAGATACAGATAAACACAACACATGATCACGATCCAGATCTGTATGTACCCTCACTGTGTTAGATCCAGATAAACACAAACAATCATGATCCAGATCTGTGTGTGTACCTTGACTGTGTTAGATCCAGATAAACACAAACAATCATGATCCAGATATATCTGTACCCTGACTGTGTTAGATCCAGATAAACACAAACTATCACGATCCAGATCTGTATGTACCCTCACTGTGTTAGATCCAGATAAACACAAACGAACACGATCCAGATCTGTATGGTTTCTCACTGTGTTAGATCCAGATAAACACAAACACAAACAATCACGATCCAGATTTGTATGTACCCTCACTGTGTTAGATCCAGATAAACACAAACACAAATGATCACGATCCAGATCTGTATGTACCCTGACTGTGTTTTATTCAGATAAACACAAACAATCATGATCCAGATCTGTCTGTACCCTGACTGTGTTAGATCCAGATAAACACAAACACAAACTATCCCGATCTCTATGTACCCTCACTGTGTTAGATCCAGATAAACACAAACAATCACGATCCAGATCTGTATGTACCCTGACTGTGTTAGATCCAGATAAACACAAAAGAACACGATCCAGATCTGTATGTACCTTCACTGTGTTAGATTCAGATAAACACAACACATGATCACGATACAGATGTGTATGTACCATGACAGATAAACACAAACGAACACGATCCAGATCTGTATGTACCCTGACTGTGTTAGATCCAGATAAACACAAAAGAACACGATCCAGATCTGTATGTACCTTCACTGTGTTAGATTCAGATAAACACAACACTTGATCATGATACAGAAGTGTATGTACCCTCGCTGTGTTAGATCCAGATAAACACAAACACAAATGATCAAGATCCAGATCTGTATGTACCCTCACTGTGTTAGATCCAGATAAACACAAACGAACACTATCCAGATCTCTATGTACCCTGACTGTGTTAGATCCAGATAAACACAAATACAAATGATCCAGATCTGTATGTACCCTGACCGTGTTAGATCCAGATAAACACAACACCTGATCACGATCCAAATCTGTATGTACCCTGACTGTGTTAGATCCAGATAAACACAACACATGATCACGATCCAGATCTGTATGTACCCTCACTGTGTTAGATCCAGATAAACACAAACAATCATGATCCAGATCTGTGTGTACCTTGACTGTGTTAGATCCAGATAAACACAAA